GGAGATGAATCCAACGCCTGACCCCGCATTGCACGCACTCTCGCCCACATCGGCTCTCATCCCCACGCTCCTCGTTCCCGTCACCGGCCTATGCTGTAAACGCCCTAGCAGTCACGATCAGTCACTTCTCTGTCTTACGGGTTTATTTCATTCTCTGTCCTGCAACCGAAGCTCTGCATTGTCTTACCCATGTTTAGAACAGCTCCATTCAATGATGTCACACAAGCCTTTTAAACTTTTCTGGTGGTCACATTTGAAAAGTAAAACAGCAACAAATAATTTCATTATTATTATTATTATTATTGAGATGGAGTCTCACTCTATCACCCAGGCTGGAGTGCAGTGGCACAATCTCGGCTTACTGTAACCTCTGCCTCCTGGGTTCCAGCGATTCTCCTGCCTTAGCCTCCCAAGTAGTTGGGATTACAGGCACCCACCACCACACCCAGCTGATTTTTGTATTTTTAGTAGAAACGGGGTTTTACCATGTTGGCCAGACTTGTCTCAAACTCCTGACCTCAGGTGATTCACCTGCCTCAGCCTCCCAAAGTGCTGGGGTTACAGGCATGAGCCACTGTGCCTGGCCACTAATTTTAAATGTATTTCTTTAACCCAGTGTATTCAAAATATTATCAGTTCAACCTGTGATCAATATACAAAATTAACAATGTGTTTTGTTTTTTTGGCAGTAATGAATGCCATGTTGGCTTTTATTATTACTTTTTTCTAATTTTACTTTAAGTTCCAGGATACAAGTGCAGAACATGTAGGTGTTACATAGATAAATGTGTGTCATGGTGGTTTGCTGCACTCATCAACCTGTTATCTAGGTTTTAAGCCCTGCATACATTAGCTATTTGTTCTAATGCTCTGCCTCCCCTCGACCCCCCCCCTCTTAAAATTCTTTTTGTTTTTCACACTGAGTCTTCAAAGTCTGGTGTGTATCATACAGCACATCTCAATAGCCACATGCAGGCAGGGTGCGGTGGCTCACGCCTGTAATCCTAACACTTTGGGAGGCTGAGGTGGGCATTAGACGATGCAGGTCTAGACGACTGCCTGGTATATTGTGGACACAATTCTTGAATGGACCCTGAGAAATAAGCAGAAATGGTTTTGTTATTCCTAATTTACAGAGTATAATAGATAATGGCAATAGCGACTTTTATTTGAGTTTATGTCATGTGTCAGGAATAGGCTATGCATACATTTATTATTTCATCTAAAATCTCATCCTCAAAACAAAAGCCTTTTGCGGTGGGAATTATCACTCCCATTTTTTTTTTTTTCGGTAGAGAAAATTAAGTTTCGAAGGAGCTAAGTGACCGAGACCACATATACACTCATCTTCTGATTTCTGATCCTGTGTTTGCTCAGGATGAGAAATATCCTATATTTCTTTAAGCCAGAGATTAAGATAAAAAAGATTTTCAGGAGTAACCAGTCAATGAAAAGTCAAAATAAATAGTTTTGGCAGCCAGGCGCGGTGGCTCAC